CAAATAGAGGTGCAACATGTAAATGTTCCCAAAACTGGGGGGGCTTTTCTTTCTGCTTCCAACGCCATGTATAAGGATGCGCGAGCAGAGATAAGTGTGCTGAAAGCGGAAAACAAGGAGCTGAAGCGGAAGGCCACCGTGATGTTCCGATTTGGAGGGCCGCCATATGCTACAGTGGAGGAGCAGGGGGGAGTGAACGTGCTCGGTGGATTAGGAAGCACGGAGGCAGCACCGTCAAGGATCGCAGGACGGAGGCAAGAAGAAAAGACCGGCGAATAGGCGAAGAAGTGAGGTCGGTTGGTGGCCGGCTGCAAAAAAAGAAAATAAAGCTGTTGGTGGTGTTGTTTTTTTTTTTTTGTGTAAAATTGTGATCGGGGGTGATCCCTGAGATGAATAAAATATGGTTTGGTGTTGGAGTGCAAATCTTTAGCACACGGATTTGTGAAAACAAGCAATGGTATTTGGAATGTTTTTTTTTTTTTTTTTTTTTTTTGGATGAGCATGGGGATGATGAAGATAATAATGAATAAAATAATAAAGTGGGAGTGGGGAACAGGACGAATCAAGAGAGCGTGATTAGAAAAAAAGAAAGTGATAATAAAAAAGAAAGTTTGGGCGGTGGATGGTTTTTTTTTTTTTTATAATAATAATAATAATAATAATAATAATAATAATAATAATAATAATAATATATTAATGAGAAAAGCATGGGCGGTGGTGAGAGAGAAAACAAAGGGACCAGAGAGAGAGGGAGTGGGTTGATTAAATAAATAAAAAAAAATGTTGGCATCATAAAGGGCATGTGGGAGACCACGGGAAAGAGAGAGAGAACTGTCATGTGTGTGTGTGATGTATGGGTGAAGAATCAGCCGGAGAGAGATCAAGTTCAGAAAGAGATGAGACTGAACATCCAGGCAACAAAATCGAGAGGTTTTACTGGTCGGTGAGTGCTAACGAGGTCATGTCGGCGAACCCCGATCACTACGTCACACTCGTCGTAACCTGACTTCCAAGTCCGAAAATCGAACGCCGGTGAAGCAGCTCAAGCTTCTCCGCCCCGATGATACATTGCTTATCGGACAAGTTATCGGCTCATCAGCTTCGAAGATGTGTTGAAGGAGTTCGCTGCAAAGAAGTGCGTGAAACTCGGGAAGCTGTTGCAGAGAGGAGCATTGGCTGAGGAGATTGCGTTGTAGGTGATTAGAGCTACTGAGAAGGTTGTGATAAGGGTGAAGAACGAGTTCCCACAACCCATTTTCTCATGTTGGAGCGATGATGGCGACTGAGGATGTGCAGATCAACAGAGGAGGAAGGCCGATGACCATGGAGGTGGAGTCGCCGAGGAGGACGGACCCATGACCGTACCATTTATCATGGCTGTAACAGTTGCAGACTATGACTTTAGATGAAGAGGCTAGTGAAAGATGAAGTTACAGCGGAGTCCGGCGGCGGCCAAGGCGAGACTGCCGCCGCGGTGAAGCAGAATGAACGAATTCTTAACCTTGCTCTGATACCATGTTAAAATGTATGTATTATTGATTGATATTGTTGTTTGTTATATTGATATTACAAGGATCCTATTATATAGAAGAGGATTTGGGTAGTAGGTGAGGAGTAGGTGAGGGTAAATTGGTGGTAGGTGTAGTAGGTGTGGTAGTAGGTGGTGGTAGTGTAGGTAAAATTTACATTACATTAACCCACCCATGTACACACACCATTAACACTCATCTCTCTCTCTATCTGCTAACACACACACTCAACCCATAACTCACACCACTCACACCACACACAGAGCTACACAGCTGCACACACGCACACACATGCATTACAAACACACAAAAACTGCATCTCTCTCTCTGTATTGAAATTCAGAGACACACCACACATGGGCTAGTCTCTCAGTCCTCTCTTGGTGTTCGAACTCGCCCCAAGTCCCTCGTTTTGCAGAGACTCCGACCAAGCACACACCTCGCCAAAACCACCGATCCTACTCACCACCCATAAAGCCATAGTAGCAAGCAACTCACACCAGTCCTCTTCTCGGCCATCACACACACAGACGGAGAACCACTGTTGCTCCACCGTCGTCGACCGCTGTGAACCACCGTGGACCACCAAAAATTCTCTCTCTCTCTAGCTCTCTCTCTATATAATAGGTATGGAGGGGGAACAAATCTAAAAAAATAAACCATGGCTGAATACACCTCGCTCTTTGCTACTACTGAAGGCCGCAATCACAGATTCTGTTCATACTGAGGAGTGCAAGGTGGAAATTCGACCCGGACAGACCATGGACATGGCGCCGCTCTCTCTCTCTCTCTAAATACATAGACATTACATACTAATCGTGTGGGTTATCGGACTTGGAAGAGTGAGAAGAAAGATGGCCGTGGGGAAGGAAGAGGTCTGCATATGGTGTAAAGCTATTCCCCGCCCACGCAAGTCTATCTATGGTTGTTTATCTTGTGTACACATGCAAGGGAATGAGTGATGTGCCTGGTGCTATTGCAGGCTCACCACGTGTAGGTTCTTCTGGTGGGAAATTCAATTTTTGGATATTGGACAATGGTTTTGTATAGGCTAATCACGAGCTGTTTTTACCAATGGGCTGGTTTGTGGTATTTTTCATCCATGTGTGTTCAAGTGTGCTACTTGGGTGTAAAGCATGTGGGCTGTTACAAAAGAAGGGATTGATATATTGGACCAACGTGGATACTGATGATAATGGGTGGTGCGCCTCGCCTTTAAATTTGTCATTTTGGTTGTGCTTGCCATTTTGCTTAAGAGTCATCAAGGTGTTACTGCTTTAGTTTATTTTATTTTGAGCGTTTGTGAGGATTTTTATTCTCTTTTTGAATTGTAATATGTATAATTTGTAAATTTTTCATCTTGTTCTTTCATTCATTCTTAATCGCTTTTCCTAACTGTACATATGTATATATCTGACATGTCATGCATATCCCTACCTTACATCCATGTTCCATGCATTAAAATTCGGCTAAATTTACATCTTTTGCTTAATTGATTATCTCATAATTTTGTGTGCTATCACATGTTTTGGCAATGTTTCACATGTCATATCTTAGAAGCCGAATCTCTTAGTCGCATCTCATGAGTATTGCATTAGGATTCTGTATATAAGATCATGCATATTTTACTAACTTGTTTTGTTGTTGTTCGAGGGACGTCGGTCAATCTGTTGAGTTTTTTTTATGCTCTAGATCCCATTTGTGTGTGTTTTTCTTACTATTGTTAGTATTTACCATGAGGCTACTTGCTTACTTGATATAACTGTATAAATGCCTGTGGATGAATGCTTATTGCTTGAATTGAATGATTCAACGATTGTACGTTTTAAGCCCACTTTGGAGTAGCAAATTCACAAATTTTAAAGCCATTTTGTCAAGTGGCAAAATTCAAACCTTTTCGAAAACCAAACATGAAATTGAATTGTTCATAATTTGAGCAAACTAGTCTATACCTGGTATGCTTCACATGTAAATTTTAGGATTTACTAAAATAATCAGAACATAAACATATAAAGAAAATAAAATTCATATCATGGTTAGTAGAGGCGATCTTTTGATCGGATGACGGGGGTGCTCATATGACCTTCCCCTCCCATACCTAAAGTTCCGAGCCAAGCATCCTTGATTACGACGAACAGTGGCCTTGGCACTGAGTCATGGGTTTCCTAATTCTCAAAATATTAGGGTGTTGACTCTGAGATCTGATGACGCAGCCCATTTTTGACAAATTGTAATTAAATAGATTTTCAATAAAAGTTTCCAAAATCTGGACTCTCATCTACGTTTTTACATTTGCAATCATGGAGACTAGATCAAAGAGATCTCGAGGGTCCGAACTGTTTAATGCGCATGGTACCCCCGGGCAGTTACAGTTTCTGGCGACTCTGCTGGGGATTTTATGAAAACCTTAACTCGAACTCCATGATATGACTTTTATTTTCAATTATATGTTTATTGCATTACATGCATTGGTGCACTTTAAAGTCCTGTGTTGCCCAGATGCTGGTGAGAGCACAGGCACACTTTTGTGACATTACAACCTATCTCTACGTTACTTTGGAGACCTGTGTTATAATCTTTTGAGATCTAAAAAGTTCTCAGACTTTGAAGAGAGGCTAATTATTGACTCTTCTGAGCTCCTAAGTTTCTTCATTGGTTATGACCAAAGGACTTCTTTGGTAATTGTCACCTTGACTTCAACCCCTAAAGTAGAGCTAACCTTGTATATTATAGTGAGCTATAGTACCTTTCAAATTGGTTATAGGAGTTTTCCCATTCTAGGATATATGATACCACTTGTTTGAATAGTGAAACCCTAGATCTTTTCAAGCTAGGACAGGATAACCCTACCCTCTTAGGGTTGTTTGATCTCTTTCCTGCTTTATGTCACATGTATTGGATCATACAGGGGTTCTCACATTCGAATAAGTGTTCAGGATGTTCAATTTAGCACCATTACTTTTCAAAAACAAAATAATAATAATAATAAAAACATAAAATCAAAAAAATTAAAAACAAAAAAACTCTTGATATCCCACTAAGTCGACCATTGTAAAATAATAGAACTTGTAGGGTATCCGACCATCTCTGTGATTGGGAGTAACTGCCTGTGATTGCACGGGCTTTATTTTGATATTGTGATGCCCACAAGTTAATGGCAATTGAGAATGGTTATATTCTGAGTTCTGGATTGAGTATTGAATCTAAGTTTGATTCCACAAGTTGTTAGAGTTGGGATCATGCTCAAGTCATTCTAGTGAGTCAAAGCCTGTTGATTTTGAGAGTGCTAACCTAGACATTTCTGTCTTGTCTAGATCTTCTTTGTCATTTTATTTTGAGTCTGTTGTTATGTTGAGTCATAGTTTCTTTTCAAAAAAAAAATAATAAAATTAAAAAATAAAATATAAAAAAATGCCATAGGAGTCTGCCTACTTTTCTGTGTCTTTAAATCATTGCATTAACTAAAGTTTTTCAAACACTTTTCCAAAAACTTGATAAAAACAAAGAAGAATTTTCTCGGGATTTGCAATTTGATTCAACTGAGAGGAAGAGAGGTGCGCTAAGCCTTTGATGAATAAATCATTTTTTGTAATGTGGGTATGAAAAGGATCCTGGCTTGGTCCAAATTGGTTCTATCTTGTTCGTAAGAGTACGAGTGATTAGTCACTTTGTGAAAAGATTTCAAAAACTGTTTTTTGCGTGGTCCTACGAAGACATGCCTGAATTGATTATACAGCATAGGATCCCTTTTGACTCGAGGTCCGACCTCCTTAGCTTTCAAATCTTTGATTCGAAGTATTCAATGATCATTCAATAATGTAAGGCTTGCGTAGTCGAATTGGAATATTCCTTGAACTTGGGGGCCATTGATGTGATCAAGTTGAATGCAGCCCTTCAACTAGGGGCAATAAGGTCAAATGTGATTCAGAGTTGAAACAGCCTTGACTAGGGGCAAAAGTGTGAGGCTTACATAGTTGAAATAGAGCAACCCTTGAACTAGAGGCAATAAGGTACCACCCTTGAGAGACTCGTTGGGCTGAAAACTTGGAAGGGCGACCTAGGCAAAAGTTAGGGCACAAAAAAAAGAAAAATAAAAAAATGAAAAGCTCGCAAGGTTGCAAACCCGAAAGGGCGGCCTTGGCAAAAGTTAGAGCATAAAAGAGAGTGTCAATACTCGAGTGAACCTTAGCCAGAACTACATAGGGCCTGTGATGCTGATTAGAAACAGCCCTTGAACTAGGGGCCAAGAAGGTCGGATGTGATGATAGATTGGATCAGCCTTGAACTAGGGGCAATGCTGTGATTCAGAATAAGGACAATTGAGTTCCTATCCACTACACTAGGAGCAAATGCAGACCCAATTAGTCTAGTCCCTACATCATCATATCTACTGGTCAAGTGTAGCAGGTGTTCATAGATGGCCTAGAGATTTCACAATCAATCAACATGGACAAGTTAAAACCAAAAGTACCATCCTTGAGAGGCTCATTGGGTTGAAAACCCGGAAAGGGCGACCTAGGCAAAACTTAGAAGCAGAAAAAAAAATCAAACAAAAAAATGAACAAAATGAAAAACAAAAAAAAATAAACAAATGAAAAAAAAATAGAAAAATTAAAAAAATTGAAAAGCTCGCAAGGTTAAAAACTCGAAAGGGCGGGCTTTGGCAAAAGTTAGAGCACAAAAGGAGAGTGTCAATACCCGAGTGACCCTCAGTCGGAACTACGATGGCCTTGATTCCTTCTTTGGGATACGTAGGTAGCTTCATTTTGAAGTTCGGCCCCAATAATTTTTCAACTTATTCATTTTGTCCATTGTGTGATGGTGTATCTTTAGTCCGACTTTGGTATCCTATCCGTGTTTGATTGGTGTATCTTCGTTCTGCCTCAGTTCAATTGGTTTGATTCAACTTGGTTCGGTTTTGGTTCAGCGGTTCGGTTTGGTCCAGTTCTGCTCGGCTTCATTCGGTTCGGTTTGCTTGGTTCGGATATCACCATTGAATTATCTGGCTTGGGACTATGCACCCAATGGTTGATCCCATTGTTGTTTGAGAGTGGCCATTTGCAAAAATAAGTTTTGATTAATTTGAATGAAGTTGACTGATTTTCTCAAAATTATTCCATTTTTTCAGAACTTGGCCATTCTTTGGATTTAAACGGAAAATTTTCAGTGCTCACAGTCTTAGCTTACATGATTTCAAAACAGAAAATGAATCAAGTATGTCTAATCTAACTTTTATGTTGATCAAAACATTTTGACAAAAAAAATTAAGGACAAAAAAAAAGGTCAAGGCAATGAACTAGGGCATAGTCGAGTTAGAGATTCTGTCCTCTCTACCACTCGAGTCACTCGTCGGTGTTTATAATGAGTGTGTATTCATACAATCAAGTATTCATACCAGTCAGTGTATTCATACAATCAGGGTATTCATACCAGTCAGATGTATAAAAGTGTGTTCCTTTCATACCAGTTCAGTATATTTAACAGTCGGTGTATTTAACTAGTTAGTGTAATATAAGATGTGCTTGGATTGATTTGCTCGTTTTTTCAGTTCGTTAGGTCATTCGTTGATTCAGGTCAGTATAGAGTCATGCTCAATGTCTAATTCATAGTGTCAAAAATTCAACATTTTCTCAAATTCAATCAAACAATTGCTTTCAAGCTGCAAAGTGATATGCCAGTCACGCCATGATGAGCAAAAAAAAAAACTGATTTTATTAAAGTTCAGAGGGAGGACATCCCCGATTAATAGAGACCTCCAAACACAAAGAACAAAAACAAAAAACAAAAACAAAAACAAAAAAACAAAAACAAAAACCAAAAAACAAAAACAAAAACAAAAACAAAACAAAACAAAACAAAACAAAAAACAACAACAAAAAGCAAAAAGAGAGAGAGGCATTTTCTCAAATTTCCGGCAGTAGCTCGACGGCGTGAAGATTACAACTCGGTTTCATTTGCACACAACTTTCATTGCCTGAGTTGCCATCGCTCCCTCGTTTTCATATCTTTACTTCAAGTCTTGAAGACTCTGCTTCGCGCTTGGCCAGAGCTTCGAAAGGAGATTATTCCTCGCTGCCATCAATTCTGGTTATGCGAAGGAACTCCAATCGGCCACGGAGGTGTCCTGTCGTCAGCTCTTTGTCTTTGCTTTTTCAAACGCACTAATTTCTAATTCGAGGATCTTTGTACATACGTTAAGAATGGAAGATTTGTGCATTGTATTGAGTAACTTCACACGTCCGATTCTGCAGTGACGGATTGACTTTATGATTTATTAATAAAAATGACGATTTGTTATGAAATTAGAAATCTCAGGGGATGGAATGTAATTTTCAGAATCATAAGGGGCGACTTGTATTTTAATCAAACCTCAGGGGTTATATTTGTAATTTACTCAATCTCATCCCTAAGTGGCAATCGCAATTGCGTAAGAAGAAACTTTTAGTAGAAGAAATTAATTTTTGTATCGCATTCGCCAGTTGATAACATTAACTATTTGAATTAATATTTATTAGCTACTCATTTTTTTTTTTTTTTTTTTTTTTTTTTTTTTTTTTTTTTTTTTTTTTTTTGTTTTTGTTTTTTTTTTTTTTTTTTTTTGTTGTTTTTTTTTGTTTTTGAGCATGGTGATGATGAATAGATAATGATGAATAAAAAAAAAATAAGAAAGGTGGGAGTGGGGAACAGGACGAATCAAGAGAGCGTGATTAGAAAAAAAGAAAGTGATAATAAAACAAAAGAAAGTTTGTTTTTTTTTTTTTATTTATAATAATAATAATAATAATAATATATTAATGAGAAAAGCATGGGCGGTGGTGGAGAGAAAACAAAGGGACCAGAGAGAGAGGGAGTGGGTTGATTAAATAAATAAAAAAAAAATGTTGGCATCATAAAGGGCATGTGGGAGACCACGGGAAAGAGAGAGAGAACTGTCATGTGTGTGTGTTATGTATGGGTGAAGAATCAGCCGGAGAGAGATCAAGTTCAGAAAGAGATGAGACTGAACATCCAGGCAACAAAATCGAGAGGTTTTACTGGTCGGTGAGTGCTAACGAGGTCATGTCGGCGAACCCCGGTCACTACGTCACACTTGTCGTAACCTGACTTCCAAGTCCGAAAATCGAACGCCGGTGAAGCAGCTCAAGCTTCTCCGCCCCGATGATACATTGCTTATCGGACAAGTTTATCGGCTCATCAGCTTCGAAGATGTGTTGAAGGAGTTCGCTGCAAAGAAGTGCGTGAAACTCGGGAAGCTGTTGCAGAGAGGAGCATTGGCTGAGGAGATTGCGTTGTAGGTGATTAGAGCTACTGAGAAGGTTGTGATAAGGGTGAAGAACGAGTTCCCACAACCCATTTTCTCATGTTGGAGCGATGGTGGCGACTGAGGATGTGCAGATCAACAGAGGAGGAAGACCGATGACCATGGAGGTGGAGTCGCCGAGGAGGACGGACCCATGACCGTACCATTTATCATGGCTGTAACAGTTGCAGACTATGACTTTAGATGAAGAGGCTAGTGAAAGATGAAGTTACAGCGGAGTCCGGCGGGCGGCCAAGGCGAGACTGCCGCCCGACGGTGAAGCAGAATGAACAAGTTCTTAACCTTGCTCTGATACCATGTTAAAATGTATGTATTATTGATTGATATTGTTGTGTTGTTATATTGATATTACAAGGATTCCTATTATATAGAAGAAGATTTGGGTAGTAGGTGAGGAGTAGGTGAGGGTAAATTGGTGGTAGGTGTAGTAGGTGTGGTAGTAGGTGGTGGTAGGTGTAGGTAAATTTACATTTACATTAACACCACCCATGTACACACACCATTAACACTCATCTCTCTCTCTATCTGCTAACACACACACTCAACCCATAACTCACACCACTCACACCACACACAGAGCTACACACGCTGCACACACGGCACACACATGCATTACAAACACACAAAAACTGCATCTCTCTCTCTGTATTGAAATTCAGAGACACACACACATGGGCTAGTCTCTCAGTCCTCTCTTGGTGTTCGAACTCGCCCCAAGTCCCTCGTTTTGCAGAGACTCCGACCAGCACCACCTCGCCAAAACCACCGATCCTCACCACCACCCATAGAAGCCATAGTAGCAAGCAACTCACACCAGTCCTCTTCTCGGCCATCACACACACAGACGGAGAACCACTGTTGCTCCACCGTCGTCGACCGCTGTGAACCACCGTGGACCACCAAAAATTCTCTCTCTCTCTAGCTCTCTCTCTATATAATAGGTATGGAGGGGGAACAAATCTAAAAAAATAAACCATGGCTGAATACACCTCGCTCTTTGCTACTGCTGAAGGCCGCAATCACAGATTCTGTTCATACTGAGGAGTGCAAGGTGGAAATTCGACCTCGGACAGACCATGGACATGGCCGCCGCTCTCTCTCTTCTCTCTAAATACATAGACATACATACATAATCGTGTGGGTTAATCGGACTTGGAAGAGTGAAGAAGAAAGATGGCCGTGGGGAAGGAAGAGGTCTGCATATGGTGTAAAGCTATTCCCCGCCCACGCAAGTCTATCTATGGTTGTTTATCTGTGTACACATGCAAGGGAATGAGTGATGTGCCTGGTGCTATTACAGGTCCACCACGTGTAGGTTCTTCTGGTGGGAAATTCAATTTTTGGATATTGGACAATGGTTTTGTATAGGCTAATCACGAGCTGTTTTTACCATGGGCTGGTTTGTGGTATTTTTCCATCCATGTGTGTTCAAGTGTGCTACTTGGGGTGTAAAGCATGTGGGCTGTTACAAAAGAAGGGGATTTGATATATTGGACCAACGTGGATACTGATGATAATGGGTGGTGCGCCTCGCTTTTAAATTTGTCATTTTTGGTTTGTGCTTGAGCCATTTTGCTAAGAGTCATCAAGGTGTTACTGCTTTAGTTTATTTTTATTTTGAGCGTTTGTGAGGATTTTTATTCTCTTTTGAATTTGTAATATGTATAATTTGTAATAATTTTTCATCTTGCTTCTTTCATTTCATTCTTTAATCGCTTTTCCTAACTGTACATATGTATATATCTGACATGTCATGCATATCCCTACCTTACATCCATGTTCCATGCATTAAAATTCGGCTAAATTTACATCTTTATGCTTTAATTGATTATCTCATAATTTTGTGTGCTATCACATGTTTTGCAATGTTTCACATGTCATATCTTAGAAGCCGAATCTCTAGTCGCATCTCATGAGTGAATTGCATTAGGATTCTGTATATAAGATCATGCATATTTTACTAACTTTGTTTTGTTGTTGTTCGAGGGACGTCGGTCAATCTGTGAGTTTTTTTTATGCTCTAGCATCCCATTTGTGTGTGTTTTTCTTACTATGTGTTAGTATTCTACCATGAGGCTACTTGCTTACTTGATATAACTGTATAAATGCCTGTGGATGAATGCTTATTGCTTGAATTGGAATGATTCAACGATTGTACGTTTTAAGCCCACTTTGGAGTAGCAAATTCACAAATTTTAAAGCCCATTTTGTCAAGTGGCAAATTCAAACCCTTTTCGAAAAACAAACATGAAATTGAATTGTTCTAATTTGAGCAAACTAGTCTATACCTGGTATGCTTCACATAGTAAATTTTAGGATTTACTAAAATAATCAGAACATAAACATATAAAGAAAATAAAATTCATATCATGGTTTAGTAGAGGCCGATCTTTTGATCGGGTGAGCGGGGGTGCTCATTATTGACCTTCCCCTCCCATACCTAAAGTTCCGAGCCAAGCATCCTTGATTACGACAAACAGTGGCCTTGGCACTGAGTCATGGGTTTCCTAATTTCTCAAAATATTAGGTGGTGACTCTGAGATCTGATGACGCAGCCCATTTTTGACAAAATTGTAATTAAATAGATTTTCAATAAAAGTTTCCAAATCTGGACTCTCATCTACGTTTTACATTGCAATCATGAGACTAGATCAAAGAGATCTCGAGGGTCCGAACTGTTTAATGCGCATGGGTATCCCCCGGGCATGTTACAGTTTCTGGCGACTCTGCTGGGGATTTTATGAAACCTTAACTCGAACTCCATGATATGACTTTTATTTTCAATTATATGTTTATTGCATTACATGCATTGGTGCACTTAAAGTCCCTGTGTTGCCCAGATGCTGGTGAGAGCACAGGCACACTTTTTGTGACATTACACCTATCTCTACGTTACTTTGGAGACCTTGTGTTATAATCTTTTGAGATCTGAAAGTTCTCAGACTTTGAAGAGAGGCTAATATTGACTCTTATGAGCTCCTAAGTTCTTCATTGGTTATGACCCAAAGGACTCTTTGGTAATGTCACCTTGACTTCAACCCCTAAAGTAGAGCTAACCTTGTATATATAGTGAGCTATAGTACCTTTCAAATTAGGATAGGATGTTTTCCCATTTCTAGGATGTATGATACCACTTGTTTGAATAGTGAAACCCTAGATCTTTTCAAGCTAGGACAGGATAACCCTACCCTCTTTAGGGGTGTTTGATCTCTTTCCTGCTTTATGTGCAATGTATTGGATCTATACAGGGGTTCTCACATTCGAATAAGTGGTTCAGGATGTTCAATTTAGCACCATTACTTCAAAAACAAAAAAATAATAATAATAAAAACATAAAATCAAAAAAATTAAAAACAAAAAAAACTCTGATATCCCACTAAGTCGACCATTGTAAATAAATAGAACTTGTAGGGTATCCGACCATCTCTGTGATTGGGGAGTAACTGCCTGTTGATTGCACGGGCTTTATTTTGAATATTGTGGATGGCCCACAAGTTAACTGGCAATTTGAGAATGGTTATATTCTGAGTTCTGGATGGAGTATTGAATCTAAGTTTGATTCCACCAAGTTTGTAGAGTTGGGATCATGCTCAAGTCATTCTAGTGAGTCAGAGCCTGTTGATTTTGAGAGTGCTAACCTAGACATTTCTGTCTTGTCTAGATCTTCTTTGTCATTTTATTTTGAGTCTGTTGTCATTGTTGAGTCATAGTTTCTTTTCAAAAAAAAAAATAATAAAATTAAAAAAATAAAATATAAAAAAAAATGCCATAGAGTCTGCCTACTTTTCTGTGTCTTTAAATCATTGCATTAACTAAAGTTTTTCAAAACTTTTTCCAAAACTTTGATAAAAACAAAGAAGAATTTCCTCGGGATTTGCAAATTTGATCAACTGAGAGGAAGAGAGGTGTGCTAAGCCTTTGATGAATAAAATCATTTTTGTTAATGTGGGTAATGAAAAGGATCCTGGCTTGGTCCAAATTGGTTCTATCTTGTCTTCGTAAGAGTACGAGTGATTAGTCACTTTGTGAAAAGATTTCAAAAACTGTTTTTGCGTGGTCCTACGAAGACATGCCTGGAATTGATTATACAGCATAGGATCCCTTTTGACTCGAGGTCCGACCTCCTTAGCTTTCAAATCTTGATTCGAAGTATTCAATGATCATTCAAAATGTAAGGCTTGCGTAGTCGAATTGGAAATATTCCTTGAACTGGGGGCCATGATGTGATTCAAATGAAGGCAGCCCTTCAACTAGGGGCAATAAGGTCAAATGTGATTCAGAGTTGAAACAGCCTTTGAACTAGGGGCAAAAGTGTGAGGCTTACATAGTTGAAATAGAGGCAACCCTTGAACTAGAGGCAATAAGGTACCACCCTTGAGAGACTCGTTGGGCTGAAAACTTGGAAGGGCGACCTAGGCAAAAGTTAGGGCACAAAAAAAAGAAAAATAAAAAAATGAAAAGCTCGCAAGGTTGAAAACCCGAAAGGGCGGCCTTGGCAAAAGTTAGAGCATAAAAGAAGAGTGTCAATACTCGAGTGAACCTTAGCCAGAACTACATAGGGCCTGTGATGCTGATTAGAAACAGCCCTTGAACTAGGGGCAAGAAGGTCGGATGTGATGTAGATTGGAATCAGCCCTTGAACTAGGGGCAATGCTGTGATTCAGAATAAGGACAATTGAGTTCCTATCCACTACACTAGGAGCAAATGCAGACCCAATTAGTCTAGTCCCTACATCATCATATCTACTGGTCAAGTGTAGCAGGTGTTCATAGATGGCCTAGAGATTTCACAATCAATCAACATGGACAAGTTAAAACCAAAAGTACCATCCTTGAGAGGCTCGTTGGGTTGAAAACCCGGAAGGGCGACCTAGGCAAAACTTAGAGCAGAAAAAAAAAATCAAAAAAAAAATGAACAAAATGAAAAACAAAAAAAAAATAAACAAAATGAAAAAAAAAATAGAAAAATAAAAAAATGAAAAGCTCGCAAGGTTAAAAACTCGAAAGGGCGGCTTTGACAAAAGTTAGAGCACAAAAGGAGAGTGTCAATACCCGAGTGACCCTCAGCCGGAACTACGATGGCCTGATTCCTATCTTTGGGATACGTAGGTAGCTTCATTTTGAAGTTCGGCCCCAATAATTTTTCAACTTATTCATTTTGTCCATGTGTGATTGGTGTATCTTTAGTCGACTTGGTTATCCTATCCGTGTTTGATTGGTGTATCTTCGTTCTGCTCAGTTCAGTTGGTTTCGATTCAACTTGGTTCGGTTTGGTTCAGCGGTTCGGTTTGGTCCAGTTCTGCTCGGCTTCATTCGGTTCGGTTTGCTTGGTTCGGATATCACCATTGATTATCTGGCTTGGGACTATGCACCCCAATGGTTGATCCCATGCTGTTTGAGTAGTGGCCATTTGCAAAAATAAGTTTTGATTAATTTGAATGAAGTTGACTGATTT